GGGGGGGGGGGGCTGCAGAGGCCGCCCTGTCCTGGCCCCCACTACCTGCCCTCTTCCCACAGAAAAGCGCCTCCCCTGGCACCTCTCCTACCGACAGTACAGCCGGCACCTGCAGGAGGACAAGCAGATCCGGGTGGTGGCCATAGGGGAGGAGAACACCTCCTGGCAGAAGGCCCTGGCGGAGAAGACCATCACGGTGGCCACCCCCTCCCTCCTGATCCACGTAGGTGACCTCCTCACAGGCCAATTCCCACCTGCCAGCAGTGGCTACCCAGCAGTTCTGGGGTGGGGTGGGGGGGGAGGCTGGTCCTGACTTTCTAGGCCTTTCCCCCCATGCAGGTGTTCTAAGCCTCCCCCCCCATGCAGGTGTTGTCTCCCGTGGTGCTGGACCAGCCCTTCCGGCTCCGAGTGGAGCTTACCAACCCCCTGCCCGAAGCCGTCAGCGATGGCCTCCTGACTGTGGAGGGGGCTGGTCTGGTGCGAGGCCAAGCCCAGATAGAGTGAGTGGGGTTGGGCTGGGGGTGGTGGTGGTGCAACATGGCTCCTGAGGAATGATGCGGGGGAGGGGGCTGCTCTTCCCTTTCTGTGCCGATGGTGCGTATTGTGTCTGTGCGAGCAGCCATGTCTGGACTTGCCTAGCCGTCGCCTGGCAGATGGGGGGGACTCCGCACCCCCTTTGGTGCCAGAAAAGGAGCTGTGGAACCCCCTGGGCTGCCCGCTGAGCCTCTCCGGGGCCGGTAGGGAGAGCACAGCCAGCCTGGGCCCAGCCACCCGGGGGCAGGGGGCAGCCCCGAGAGCGGGTGGGGCACCCTTTCTGGAAGGTGCCAGAGGCTCCTCAGCTGCTGCTGGATTCTGGCCGGGCCTGTTTGGTGCCTCTCTTCCGGGGAGAGCTAGACAGGGTGAGCGGCCCCGAGGGAGGGAGAAGGCGCTCTGGTGGTGTGGGAGGCCTGCCCTTCAGATGCTGGGAGGCTGGGGAGCTGCAGGTGTGGGAGGTGGCCTTCTCTGCCGGAGGAGGGAGGGAGGGAGGGAGGCCGGCACTGAGCCCCTGCCTTTCCCTCCGCAGGTTGGGCTTCCTGCCTGCCAGACAGCAGGCCAGCCTCACCCTCCAGCTGGTCCCCTACAAGAGTGGTCCTCGGCAGCTGCATCTCACGCTCAGGAGCAGCCTCTTCCCCCCCCTGAAAGGACACAAGCAGCTGCAGGTGGCCGAAGACGGCTGGAGGACCGGCTGGCTGCCTTAGCCGCCTCGGCTGCCCCACCCCCCCCCCCCCCCCCCCAACGGGCCCTCAATAAACGGACTGTTGCCCCGGTGGGGTCTTTTTCGGGCTCCCCCTCCCCGGGACCCCCGGGCCGCGGGAGGGGGGGGGGGGGGGAGATCTCACCACTGCGCCGGCTGCAAATGGAGCCCCCCACCTCCCCACAAGCTCCTGGACCTTTCCGGCTTTGGGGCGAAGGGAGCAACCCTCCCCCAGGTGAGGGGAGATGGGGAGGGGGACTGAGTGGGGTGGGGGGTGGGGGAACAGCACTGAGGCCCCGTAGGTGGGCTGAGCGAGGGGCTGCGTTTAACCTTGGGCTTCATCCCCAGCACAAAGGGCTCCTCCTGCAATGCACCACACAGCCCGGACACAGCAGGTCTTGTGGTAGAGGTCAAGAGGGCTGCCCCACGCCCTGGGCAAGGGGGGCCATTCCCCACAGACACCCCCCCCCCCGGGGGGGGCGGCAGAAGTTTGAACCCCCCCCCCCCGATCGCCCTCCCCGGGTCCCCTGTCCCCCTTCCCCGAGGAGTCGCCCAGCGAGGGTGGCCCCACCCCAAGAGCAGGCCAGCGGGGAGTCATTCCGTGTCTTCTGGCGGGCCGGTGCCACCCCCGACCACCCTGCCTGGCAGCTCCCCCTGGCCCCCTGGGAAGAAGGGAGTGGTGGGAGGGGAGATGGGGCAGGAAACGTGGGAGGAGCGGGGTCCTCCGCAGGCCCCCTGCCCACTTAAGTCGCCGCCCCCAATGCCCCCTCAAAGTCCCTCTGCAACTGGAGCGGTGCTTGAGTTAGGAGAATAAGGCCACTGCCAGCCGTCCAGGCTCCTTGCACAGAGGCCAAAGGTCCTTTACTGCCCACACTGGGGACCAAAGTGCTACGGCTGCCCCTCTGGCCGGGTGTCTCCCGCGCAGCACCCGCCCTCCCCTGCCGAGCCAGGGTCCCCCAGCAGGCCTTGGGTGGCGTCCTTGATCTTGCCTAGGTTGTGGTCCACTGCTTCAGCCAGGAACCGCACCCAGCTCTCTTCAGAGGGAGGGCAGACGTGGCTCGTCCTGCAGGAGACAAGACGGCAGCCCTGAAGGGACAGGCGGCTCCCCGCCCAGCCCAGCAGGCAACTCCGGCTCCCCTGCCAGGATGAAAAGTTGGGGTGGCCGCCAGGGAGGGAGGCTCCCCAGAGACCAAGGGCGAGTCCACAACCAGTTCCCTCACCTGGTGACTTCCAGCATCTTCATCAGCACCGAAGCCAGTTTCCCAGCCTAAAAAGGGATCCTCACGTGAGCAAGGAGGCCTGGCGACTGCAAAGCCTCCCCCCCCCCCCCACAGGGGAAGCCCCCCTCATCAAGGGGGTTGGGGGGCTCCAGCCACGATTAACAGCCTGCCTCTGGGGGCCCCACCTGATAAATCCTGGCTGCCCAGGACCATGGGCAGGATCCCACCCTCCCCTGGGGGAAGGAAAGCAGACCTGATCCTCAGGGAGGCTCCCTGGACAGAACCACCCTCCCCGCTGAGAGGGGGGAGTCACGCCGGGCCTGGCACAGGCAGCCTGGCCCCTCCTGGACCAACTTACGTTCAGCCGCAGAGCAAGCTGGTTCACGGGCGGGCAGAGGCTGAGCACCAGTTCATCCACGCTGAAACACACAGCAAAACCAGCCCGGGCTCAGCACCAGCGCAGCCAGCGCGAGCCTCAGGCAGGTTGGGTCTCGCAGGGGTGGCTGCTGGGAGCAGCCACGACCTCCTGCCCTTCCCGCGAACTCTCTGGAGGCAGGAGAAGCCCCCTCCTCACAATGCAGGGTGCCAGTTGCTCCTCCCCTTGGTGGGGCCTTGGTGACTCTCCTCACCTGGGGCTGAGCTCAGCCGCAGCCTCAGCCAGGGCATCCAGCTGAGCCACCTGCTCCGCCGTATCTGCTCCGCCGTGAGTCCTCATGGCCGCCAGCAATTTCCTCAGCCCAGCCTTGGTGGCCTTCACCAGCCCTCGGCAGGGGCCCAACAGCTGCCGCTCGGCGTCTGTCCAGGCAAAGCCCAGGGCTTCCTCCTCCAGCAGATCCCCGGGAGACGCCCCTCCCTCGGTCTGCATCTAACACAAACACAAGCCCGTGGCAAGGAGTGCTCTGGTCCCAGGGCATCTGGGCGGCAGCTGGGAAAGGGAGGGGAGACAGGCCATCAAGGCCGGCCAGGGGAAGCCCTGGCAGGGGGTGGGAAAAACCAAGGGGGCACCTTCCGGCCTCAACCACCTCCCATGCGGAAGAGTCACCCCCAGCATCCTGAAGGAAGCAAGAGGGACCCCAAGGGGAAGGTGGGGACAGAATCCCAAGGCTTGGAGGAGACCAGCCAGGCCCCCCGAGAGGGTGGAAGCTGTGGGGTCTCAGGGAGCGGTTCTTGTCTGCTGGAAAGCGACAGCCGCTAAAGACAGGAGGGGAAACCACTCCAAGAGTTCGATTCCCCAGGTCTTGGCAGGAGGTAGGACTATATAGGGGCCCTCGCAGACCAGAGGTGGCTTCTGTTCCGTTCCACACGCAGCCCAATTTGTCCAAATAGTTGCTTACAACCACCGGTAAGCGTGCCGGATGCCAGTGGTCGTTGGAGTTTTGAAGGAGATTGGCAGTTGAGGAAAGGGCCTACTGGCAAAACCTTGGGGAGCCGGAAGGGCACCTCAGGGCAAATCAAAGGGCCGGCCCAAGTTCTGGTTTCTCTTTATTGGAGCTCGGGCTTCCTGGGCTAAATAGCCCACCTGGAACTTGAAAGACATGCAATGTGCTCTCTCAAAAAAAAACGGCTGGCAAAGAAAGCCAGGCCAATTAGCTGCAAGCCAGTTATCATAACGCCATCGTGCCCCCCCCCCCCCCCCCCTAGGAGCCCCCCTCAACCTCCCTGCCGCCTCTTGCCACCGCTACTGCCTAGGAAGGCCGGGGCAACGTTTATCAAACGCAGGCATTGCTCACCCGTGGCAGCTTCCCGCAGTCTTTAAGTTAAAAGGCTTTGGGTCCGAGGGGTTTGCGGGTGCCCCCCCCCTCCCGGTCTGGAACAGCCAGTGGGGCACCTCCAGGCGCCAAGGCTCCCCCTCCCTCTTGCCGACGGAGAAGAGGCCCCTCTTTACTTCGCTCTTCCAAGCTCGGGCCCTGGCAGTCGCTGGGCCTCTGCTCCCCAGGCACCCAAAGGGGCTCCCGTCTCTCCCCACCTGCTCCATCTCCTCCAGGGCATCCTTGATAAGTTCCAGGCAGGAAGAAATGGCCAACGTGGCCGCTGCCAGGTTGTCTGAGCAGAGAGAACAGCGGGTGAGGGCCCTCTGTGGAGGGTAGCAAGAGCTGCCGCCCAAAGCCTCCACCTAGGCCCAGTCGGGGGCTGCTCACGCACAGCTGCCTTCTCTGGCCCTGACTTCTCTCCCGCCACTTACCATGCGGCAGGCAGGAAACTCGGTCGCAGGCCTCCCAGACGCCCCCGGTTGAGATCAGCTGCTCCTGAGACAGGCTGCAAGAGGGGCAACGTGAGCAGTGAAGCCAATAGGCTGCTGGGAAGGCCGAGGTCAGCAGAAGACAGTGGAGACACCCCACCCATCAACCCGGCCTCTTGGGGCCTTTTCTGGGGAGGGAAAGCAGAGGGGCAGCCACGGAAGATTTCAGATTGTTTAACAGAGTTGGAAGGGATCTTGTAGGCCATCTAGCCCAACCCCCCGCCCAAGCAGGAGACCCTACACCATTTCTGACAGAGACGGTTGTCCACTCTCTTCTTGAAAGGCTCCAGGGGTGAAGCTCCCACAACTTCTGAGGGCAACTTCTGTTCCATGGGTTGACTGTTCTCACTGTCAGAAAGTTTCTCATTTCCACATTGAATCTCTCCTTGATCAGTTTCCACCCATTGTTACTTGTCTGACCTTCAAAGGTGCTTTGGAGAATAGCTTGACCCCCCCCACCTCCTCCTCCTCTCTGGGGCAGCCCCTCAACTACTGGAAGGCTGCTCTCCAGTCTCCCCTGGTCCTTCTCTTCTTCCCTAGACTAGCCAGGCCCAGTTCCTGCAACCGTTCGTCGTATGTTTGAGCCTCCGGTCCCCTCATCCTCCTGGTTGCTCTTCTCTGCACAAAACTGGATGCAGTATTCTAAGTGTCTAGAGCTTTATAAAGTGGTATTAGTTCTTAACATGATCTCGATTGAATCCCTGTGTTAATGCAACCTAGGATTGCATTGGCTCTTTCGGTTGCTGCCACACACTGCTGGCTCCTATTTAGGTGGTTGTCCCCTAAGACTCCAAGATCCTTCTCACAGTTACACAGTTAAAGGGCTTTCTTGCCTAAGTGTAGGACCTTACTTTTCTCTACACTGAATTTCACTTTGTTAGATAGGGCCCAGGGTTCTAGTCTGTCGAGATCCATCTGGATCTTCAGCCTATCTTCTTGGGTGTTAGCTATTCCTGCCAACTTAGCATCATCTGCAAATTTGGCAAGTTCCCCTTCTATTCCCTCATCTAAGTCGTTAATGGAGATATGGCAGAAGGCTCACCTCTCCTGGGGGGTCCGGAGGATCACCTCTATGAGCTGAATCATCCCTTCCACCATCTGGATCGTGGCACAGCGGACAGCATTGTTCAGGGCCTTCCCTGGGATAGGCAAAGGGAACTCTGCAGCGTTTTAACTTGCAAACTGGAGCAAGATTTCTTGTAACAAGCAACTTTAAGTAAATGCAGGAACCTTCAGCCATCACTGAAGAGCTTCAGGCCTCCTACCAGCTTGAGAGAAGAGACCCAGGATGGAGGGGCAGCTGTCAGAGCTGATGGCCCAAAAGCTCTTTGCACTGCTGGAACGGGGGAGGGGGGGGGCTGGGCTCTGCTCCCGCTCACCTTGGCTCTCTGGGAGCTGGTAATACACTAAGACAGCTCCAATGATGGCACTGCGCACCTCTTCACTCAGCGTCTCGCACGTCTGAAAAGGAACCAATCACAAAGGTTAAGCTACTCCCCCCAACAAGATTGTGCCTATGTCCTTCAAGGCCTAGAGGGGCCCCTACTTTGGGACCAGTGAAGGATATTCTGTTTCTTCCTACTTTCCTACCTGAACAATCAAGCTAATTTTAAAATGGAGAATTCATTGGGGGGACAATCTCACTCACGATGAAAAATGCGACATCCTCTATCTCCAGTCCATAGGGTCCATTCAAGAGTTCCAAGAAGGCTCTGCGCCCATTTGCACTACTCGGGTGAGCCTGAGGACCCAATAAATCTCCAAGCAGCCACAATTACTCTCTAAAAGAATATAGATGACCAGCTGTCTGCAAGAAGCATAAATCCTTCTATTCCCCACCATCCAGGCAGACCCGAAGAAGCTTCTTGGATGAGAAGCAAAACGTCTTCGAAGAAAAACCAAAAAGCCCAGTTTCCTCTTGAAAAAAGCACCTTTGGGACAACCAGGACCCGGATGGCTGAGAATCTCCATAGACATCAAGATGAAAAACTCTCCAACTCTAAGCACAGGGTTAGCACAAAGTGTGACCACCCTGGGGCGCAATTATAGATAAGGATTCCGACACAGGGCTCCCCACACTCTCATGCCCAACAGGTTTGGCTTCTCCTTAAGTACGCATCTGGCCATCCTCCCAGAGCCCTCTAAGGAAGGGCAAGTCCTCGCATACCTCTCAACACTTCATGAAGGAAGAAAATCCAGTCACAAACCAGGGTCCCCTTAGCCTCCAAATCAGAGGTCCAATTGACCGCTATGGGATGCCACAAGGCCACATCACACCCAGAGTTTCATTTCAGGACAGGAACTAAGCAGCCTTGTCAAGATCTAAACTTTGCTGTGAAACAATGAACTTGCGGTACTTGAATAGCTGCCAAATTTCCCAAATTATCAGGAACCCAAGCAGTCAATTCCAGAAAAGCTTTGGGACAACTAAAAACATTGAATTTTTCGTGCAATTGCAATACTGTCTATTGGCAGGAAATGCGTGGGAAAAAGAATCCCGGGAACGATCAACTCCAGCAGGCGGGAGAAGGCCGAGCGCTTGAGCCGAGGCCGAGGCCAGCGGCAGCCAACGGCACCCGCAGAGGCCGCCCCCGTTCCTGGAAGGCCCAACCGCAGCCGGGACTGCAGAGGCTACTCCCTAAAGCAGGGCTCCTCGGAAGGACCGCAGTCTCCCCTCAACCGGATCTTATTAGCCCGGAACGCCGCGGGGCTAGCCCCCCACCCGCCCCGGTCTTCGGCCGCCGAGGCTCCACGGGCGGAGGAAGGGGAGCAGGGGCCTTGCCTGCCGCCGAGTCTCGCACCAGCGCTCGGCCGCCTCCCCCTGGGACGCCGGGCAGGGTAGCGTGGGGGGAGGGACGAAGGGAGACCCACCTGGGCTCGGGCGGCGGCCAGGCTGAGCCGCGTGGCTTCCCGCGAGGCGGCCCCGAAGGCTCCCGCTGCGAGGGGAGGAAAGCGAGGGTGCCCGCGTCAGGGAGGCCCGGCCGGACACAGGCGCCTGCCCCGCCCCGCCCGCCGCCGCCACCGCCGCCGCCGCTCCCGCACCCAGCGCCTCCCAGAAGCGGCCCCGGTCGAAGGCCTCCCCGCCTCCGCCTCCGCCGGCGCCCCGCAGCCCCGCCAGCGCCTCCCGCAGCGCCTCCCGCAGCGCCTCCATGGCCTGCCGCGCCGGGAGCCCGCTGGTCCGTCCCCTGGGAGAGTCCGGGCGGGGGCGCTTCCGGCCCGCTTCGCTCGCCCGGCCTTTAAAATCCAGCCGCGCCTTAACCTGGTGTGAGAAGCGGCGCCGGGGTCGGGGACGGCTGGGACCGGGATCTGGGGCGGCGGAGGCTCTGGAAAGGGGGTTCCCCTCAGCCCCCCCTGGCCCGAGCCCCCTCGGGGGGGCCCCCCGAACCCCCACCGGCCCCCCCCCCCCGGCAAGGAAAAGGCCGGGAGCCCCGAGACTCCGATTCTGGGTAAATCTCGGCTTCGGCTGCCTGGAAATAGGGGCCGCGCCTGGGCTTCTTCAGGCCGTTCATTGCTGCTGTGCGGACTGAACGGGGCCCCGCCGGGGCTTCCAGGGTTCCTTTGGCTTCCCATCGCAGACAAATCTCCCGAAGCGCCTGTGATATTCCTCCCTTTGACAGGCGCCTTTCTGCCCACGGGCTGCATCGCTGCCACTTCGGCTTCGGAAGACGGCGAAGGCCGCAGGCGCACAAGCGGGGCTCCCTGCCCCTTCCCCCGCTGCCCCCCGCCGGCTTTTTCCTTGCAAAACCTCCGAGGCTCGTTGGCCGCCGAGCAGGTCGGGGCCACCCCAGGCGTTTCAGTGACCCCGCAGTTAGGACGGGGGTCTGCAGGGTTTGCTAAGCTCTCTTGGACCCCCAACAAAAGGGCTTTTATTGGCGCTTTACAGGCGCTGCTGACCATGTTAAACATTCACGCCTCCTCCGTTCCGCCTCCAGACTCTTTATTTGAACTTTGCCTTGTTTCCCAACGGAGGCTGGCAAAGAATTCTCATGTTGTGCCCTTTGAGAAACGTTCCCAAACGCGCAAACGCCTTTCCTGCACCGGCCAGCCCTGGGGATCTGGAAGCGCATTTGCGGTCCTTGCGGGACAAAGCCCGCTCTCGAGAGCGGGGCGGCTGACGGGTCACCTGGGGGCACCGCCCCTCCCCGCCCGGAAGCCCAGTGAGTCTCCGGAGCGCTTCCCGGGGCTGCCGCTGGGGGCGCTCCTCCGTTTCCGGCCGGAGCACCGGAAGGCGCGTGGGTCTCCGCAGCCACGATGGAGGCCGGGGTCGGTGCGGAGCGGAGCCCGGAGGAGGCGGGCGCGGAGCCGGAGTGGACGGACTCGGAGTCGGAGGTGAGGGCCGGGCAGCGGGCCGAGCGAGTCGGTGGGAGATTCGGGCTGCCCACCGACCCTCCCCGCCTGGCTTTCCCTGCAGGAGGAGGCGGCGGCGGCCGCGGGCCGGGGAGACTTCGCGGCGGGCTTCGCGTTCTCCGAGAAGGAAGCCACGGCGGGAGCGGGCAGCGGGGCCTGGGCGGAGGCTCTGGGGCAGCTCAAGCGCAAGGTAGGCACCCGGGGCGGGGCGCGCGGGGCGCGGGGCGGTGGAAGCCGCCTCCCGCTCACCTCTCTCGGCCCTTTGCCTCGGCAGCGCTGCGCCACCAGCTTGGATGAGAAGATCGCGGCAGTGAGGAGGCAGCGCAGAGCTCAGGTCAGAAGCCGCTCGCAGCGCCGCCTCAGACGGGCCTGCGCTTGCGGGGGCGGCGGGGGCTCCTTGGGGCTTTGGGCCGGGTGGTTGAGCAGGAGGCCTGCCGCCCTTCCGCAGGAGAAGGCAACCCGAGAAGGCGCGGTCCCCCGGGGAAGTGAGGCCGAGGCCGGGGACAACGAGGAGGAGGAGGAGGAAGAGGCGCTGCAGTCGGAGCATTCTTCGGCAGATGAGAGCGTCTTTGCAAAAGCTGGTAACCGAGCCCGGCATTGAGGGAGGCCCGACCGGGAGACTCCCGCGGGGGCTGGCCTGGGAGGGAGCTCAGGCCGCGGCTTTATAAAAGCTGAACAAGCGCCAGAGATGGGGTATATCGTAGGGGAGAAAGGACAAGGCCATGACGAAATAGGACTAGGGAATTATTGTGAAAACATGCGTTGCTTGTGAAGCCCTAATAATGGGTTAGTTGTTTGGGCATCACAATGCATAAGCTGAATTTGGATCTAACACGTACAAAGACAATCACCTAGTATTTGGCGTTATTTAATAAACTTAAATGGTAGATTATACGATCAATATCTCAGTTTCATTTGCGTATAAAATTGCTCTTGTGTTTTGTAGGTAAGTACACAGTAATTGCTTATTTTGTAGATACTCTAAAGCTGAAGCAGCGATGGAAACAGAAGCACGGTGAAAAGGAGGTGAGCATTAGTGGGGTGAAATCAAGGACCTGTCTACTAGTCCAACCTTTGCTCAGTGCAGCCTCTCAGGTAGATAGCCATTGGCCATTTTTTTCTATCACAAATTTGCCTTAAAAATAGAGGATGAATGGGATGAGTTTATGCACTGTTAACGCATCACAAATTGGCTTGGTTTGGAGCTATTGTGCACGTGCTTGATCGTTGTGACTTGTTTCCAGCTTTAGTGTTGCGCATATGCCACACCACTGTGATTTGTTTTCAAAGAATGGTTAAAATAAACGTGGGCTTTGTACAAAGCAGGGCTACTAGCAGAGATCTGCTTCTGTGTAACATGGTTGGATGTTCATATTCTTGTTTTTCTCGGGCCTAATTTTTAGGAAGCCACACAGTTCTTTCAGGAAGATGCTTCGCAGTACGATGATAGTTTGTCCTTCCAAGACATGAACCTCTCTCGACCCTTGCTGAAGGTATCCTTTTGAAGTGTGGGCTTCAGGTGCCTGGTGTCCTGTATGAATGAAGCCCAAATAAATTTGAGGTGCGATGTCTGAAGATGCAGCATTGGGATATGGCACTTGCTGCAAAAAGAGTCCACTGGCAGCATAGAAAAACAGCACAAATGGCAAAATAAGAGACCAGACAATCTAAGAAGTGGCAGCTTTCTCTGGTTCCAAATGGCTGCTTGGAAGAGAGTGAAGTTCTGGGGGCTTCCCAAGGCCTTTCAGCATGCAGGGGCTTTGGGGATGAAATGGTGTTCTAGGGACACGGGTTCCAAATGAAAACCGTTCTTTTCAGTGCAGCTTCCATAGGATAAACGGTCTGGTGGTTTTTAGGAAAAAGGTGGATGGTAACAGTGTCATGCGGACCTTGCAGAAACGAGCAGAATAGATCAATGAAGTAGAACGGGTTGAAACGGCTATCGTTCAGCCACCTTCCTCTTGGGCTGAGTGCGTTCTTCCTATAGAAATGGGAAATACTAAGAAACTAAAAGACGTAAATATTAAATACGGTGCCCCTGCTTAAGAATGAAAGCACTTTGGCAAAAGCCCTTTCTGTCCAGGTCTCTACTGGGCCTGCTTCAGGCGTCTGCACGTGATCTGCGTCTCTGTCTCTGTTCCCAGGCCATAACCGCCCTGGGCTTCAAGCAGCCTACCCCGATCCAGAAGGCCTGCATCCCTGTAGGACTGCTGGGGAAGGACCTGTGTGCCTGTGCAGCCACAGGAACAGGTACGTTGTGCCTAGCCGGTGATGGGAATGGGTTTGAAACGACTCCTGGCCTTTGGGGGATCTTCACTTTTTTGCCTGCCGTTCAGGAAAGACCGCCGCCTTCATCCTTCCCGTCCTGGAGCGCCTGATCTACAAACCTCGGCAGGCCCCCGTCAGTCGGGTGTTGGTGCTGGTGCCAACCCGGGAGCTGGGCATCCAGGTGCACTCGGTTACAAAGCAGCTGGCTCAGTTCAGCAACATCACGGCATGCCTGGCAGTGGGTGAGTGACCCAGCCTTGGGCAATTCTTTGGCAGTTCACTAATTGGCTCCTTTTGGGAATTGTTGGGCTGCCTGTCCTTTGTGTTGTTGCAGGTGGCTTGGACCTCAAGACCCAGGAGTCAGCCCTGCGCTCCGGCCCTGACATTGTCATTGCCACTCCTGGCCGCCTCATTGACCATCTGCACAACTGTCCCTCCTTCCACCTGGGCAGCATTGAGGTCCTCATCCTGGATGAAGCCGACCGGTGAGAGGATGGCTTAATTCCCCTGGGGCTGAGATGCGGGGCCCTCTAAGCCTCCTGGCCTGAGCTTTTCATGGAGGGCCCGGGGGGGGGGGGGGGGGGGGCTGGCGCAACCATCGCCTCTTGTTCCCCTTGCCTGTCAGGATGTTGGATGAGTATTTTGAGGAGCAGATGAAGGAGATCATCCGGATGTGTGCTCGACATCGCCAGACCATGCTCTTTTCTGCAACCATGACAGACGAGGTACTGCAGGCGCCCGGCATGGAGGAGGGCAGGCAGGGGGGAGAAGTGGGGTATCCGGTGGGGGGGACGAGAGCCCCTCGCCTTGCCCGGCAGGGCTGCTCTGAACCAGGAGGAGGAGGAGGCCTTGTTCCTGGGGCATCTGGAGGAGGGCCCCTGGGGAGCTCTCTCTGCAGAGGAGGGAGAAACCCCCCCACCTTCCCTTTGCCAGGTCAAGGATTTGGCTTCGGTTTCTTTGAAAAACCCCGTCCGGATCTTTGTGAACAGCAACACAGAGGTGGCCCCCTTTCTGCGCCAGGAGTTCATCCGCATCCGGCCGAGCCGTGAGGGGGACCGGGAAGCCATCGTGGCAGGTGGGGCTGGGGCTGGTGGAGGAGGAGGCCTCTGGTGGCCTGTTCAAGAGGGGAGCCGGCAGTGATGAGTCCCCCTCCGCTCTCCAGCTCTGCTCACAAGGACGTTCCCAGACCACGTGATGCTCTTCACCCAGACCAAGAAGCAGGCCCACCGCCTGCACATCCTCCTGGGCCTGATGGGTCTCCGTGTCGGGGAGCTGCACGGCAACCTTTCCCAGGCCCAGCGGTTGGAGGCTCTCCGGTAGGTGGGGGCGGGGGCAGTGCGGCCGGGGAGAGTCGCGTTGGGGCTGGGCCGGCCTCTTCAGGGGCTCCTTTCTTGGCAGGCAATTCAAGGACGAGCAGATTGACGTGCTGGTGGCCACCGACGTGGCCGCTCGGGGCCTCGATATCGTGGGCGTCAAAACAGTAAGGTCCCTCCCTGCTACTCAGCCCTCCCCCCCCCCCCCCCCCTCCTTTTGCCCTTCCCCGGGGGCAGACGCTCTGCGTTGCCTCCTCTGTGCTTGCAGGTGATCAACTTCACCATGCCCAACACCACCAAGCACTACGTCCACCGGGTGGGGCGCACAGCTCGGGCGGGCCGCGTGGGCCGCTCCGTGTCCTTAGTGGGCGAGGAAGAGCGCAAGATGCTGAAGGAGATCGTCAAGGCTGCCAAGACCCCCGTGAAGGCCAGGATCCTCCCCCAGGGTAACGGCCGTGGGGAGGGTTGGGGGCGGGCTAGACCGCTGCTTTGCCCTGAGGGACTCGGTGGCGGCAGCAGCCTTTCTGCGTCTCTCCCCCCCCCCCCAAGATGTGATTCTGCGCTTCCGGGAGAAGATTGAGAAGCTGGAGCCAGATGTGTACGCTGTGCTGCGCTTGGAGCGGGAAGAGCGGGAGCTGCAGTCCTCGGAGGCCCAGGTGGGGCGGAGGGGCTCCTGGGCTGGGTTCTCTTCCCAGCAAGCGAGTGGAGAAAGGGGTGGGGCGCTAGTCTCAGGGTCCAGTTGGGGTTTCTCCAGGGGGGCTTAATTTAGGAGAAATTCACTTCGCCCTCTCGAAGAGAACGACGTCTTGGTGGCCCCAAGTCATGCAGGCAGAGAATGTATTTGGCGTTGCCTTTCAACTCCAGCCGGATCTACCGTGGTGGTGGGGGTCATCTTCCCTTTCTCCCCTCCCCCGCTTACCAAGGACAAAGGGATCTGGCCCCACGGCCGCTCTGCTTCTCTGGCTGCCCTGGGGAAGATCTTTCCATCTCCTGAGGCTGGGTTCGGGCTCTGACCAGATCTGCCCTCCTCCCAGATCAACACTGCCAAGCGGAAGTTGGACCCTGGTTCCCAGCAACCAGCCGGATGCACTCCCCGCAGCTGGTTCCAGAGCCAGGAGGAGAGGAAGAAGGAGAAGCGTAAGGGTTGGCTCTGGGAAAGGGCTTGGATGCCTCCGTCCAGGCCTGGTCCTGACCTCTCCCCCGCCACTGTCTTGCTTCCCTCCCAGTGGCCAAGGCTCTCCAGGAGTTTGACCTGGCACTTCGAGGCAAGAAGAAGAGAACAAAGTTTGTGAGGGATTCCCAGAAGAAGGCTCAGCCAACGGTGAGCTTGGAGGAGGAGGGGGCAGGGAGGGAGGGAGGGCTGGCGGCACTTGGGCCCCTGGCCCCGTCCCAGGCAGCCTGGTGAGCGTCTCTCTCGTCGGCAGCCAGAGGAACGTTCCCAGTTTGAGATCTTGAAGGCCCAGATGTATGCCGAGCGGCTGGCCAAGAGGGACCGCCGGCCCAAGCGAGCCCGGGCCATGCCGGAGGAAACGCCGCTGGTAGAGACGAAGGCTGGTGAGGAGGCCTCTTTTTCCCTTCCCTTGTTCCGAGCCCAAGGGTGCCGGGGGGGGGGGGGGGGGGGGGGGG